TTACCTGCTTCATCCAAAAAATTTCCCAAATTACTATTTCTCTCTCTATTCGTTTTAGTTTTTTTACTCATTTCTTCTTCATTTTTACCTCTAATTTCAATTAATCCCAATTTCTCCTTCTCCTTTTTCAATTTTGCAAAACCTAAACCCTAATCCTCATTCCCTCTCATTCTGCTTTCAATCCCAATTTTGCCAAAATCAAACCCTAATCCTCATTCCTCATCATTCATGAATCCCTAATTTATCAATTATAAATCCTAATTCTCATTCTCCTAATTTCACTAAACCCAAACACTAATCATCATTCCCTTTTAACCTTTCCTCTCTCTTTATCCTTCTGCTTTTCATTTTATTTAACTTTCATCTTTGATTAAAACAAATCATGACTCTAAAAAAATGATATGTAATATGTTTTCTTTTTATTTTTTTATACTTCTATATATTGAGTGGAATTTCATTATGGGTTTTGTCAAACTAGGTTGTTATTATATGGGTATATTATTTTGTTAAGTTTATTTATTATGTAAACATGTATTTATGTTGTTTGAAGTTTTTTATCTATAGTAAAGAATAATTTTTTCTACATTTTAGGAAATAATTTTAATTTTTGGATAAATTATATGGATTTGTTTGGTGGTTATCATTTATGTTTGTATGGGTTTCATTTTATGTTGTTTATTGTTTGAAATCTTTATCTTTGATTGTATTTTTTTTGTTTTTTTCCTTTATGTATCCTCGAAAGAGTCTAGGACTTGCAATGTTAACATTAAGGCTTCACTTTAGGGTTAAATTACAAAAGAGAAAAAAAGGAAAGTCTATTGTTTAGTAAAGTTAAGGTTATTGAGAAAAGTAATGTAGATCCTGATTTAATATAATTTAGAGGGCTTTATGAATATGCTTGAGGATTATGCATATGAAAAATGCAAGGCTATTTATTATAGGAAGTTAAACCCCCAATTGAGTTTTGAGCAAAGTCTTATAAAAGTTAATGATGATAAAAGTTATTTACATATATGTAATATGTTGTGTAAAGGGTTGATGGTTGATATATATTATGAGAGAAATGATTTGATCCACCCATTGCTTGGCTATGATAATTCAAAAGTTGTATGTAAAAGGCTAAGACTAAATGAACATGGGTAATGGGTTGCTTCTGAATAGGAAGTAAACAAAAAAATATGGGTAATATGGTGGGTAGCACTGTCCATATAGATGACCATGGTATTGCTAAATTAGTGAGGATCGTAATATCAATGTAGGTCAATATAGGTAGGTTAAGTGTGTGAGAATAAAAGGGTAGTAGGACTTTAAATAAAGTGCGTGTAAAGGGTATTGAGACTTTAAATAAAGAGAATGGATGGATAGTGGGAATGTCAATAAAAGTAGTTAGGTGGTCCATGATTTAAATGTTAATGATGATCCATATGATGATATGAAAGATGTAGAATATTGGGTGGATGTATAGTGGGTGTCGGATGATGAGGAAGCTAGAGAAATTAGAAAAATTTTGAAAAAGATAAAGTAAGTTTTAGCTAGTAAAAGTAAGGTCATTTTGGAGGGGAACTTAGATGGAAATTTGGAGGGTACCTTAGAGGGAAATCTAGAGAGAAATTTAGATGGAAATTTAGAGGGTAACTTTGAAAATTTTGAGGGAAACTTAGACGAAAATATGAGGAAAAACTTAGGGAGAAATTTTGAGGGAAACTTAAGGACAAATGTGGATGGAAATTTAAAGAAAAATGTTGAAGAAAATTTAGAGGGAAATATGAAGGGAAATGAGGAGAGAAGGAAATTAATAAAAGAGTTAAAACAATTAAAAAAGAATTGAATAAGGAGTACTATAATTCGGATGAAGTGGAGGATAGCTACTACGATAGCGAGTGATAAAGAGTTAAGCATAAAAAATGAAGCGAGACTAGTTAGGTTTAATCACTTTAGATCTTCTCATTTCCAGCTTGGTATGATTTTTCAGAACAAGAAGGAAATCAGATCTACTATGATTAAGTGTGCCATCAATAGTAGGAGAAATTTAAAACTAATTAGGAATCATAAATATATGTATAAAATTGTTTGCAAAAATTACCCTTGTCCTTAAAAGTTCGTTAGTTTATATTGATGAAATGACCAAAAAATGGATGGTGAAGACATATGATACACATCACACATGTGATTGTTCATTCATAAATTCTAAGCTTACTTATAGATATATTGCTTGAGTATTTTACGAAGAAGCTTGAAAGAACTACATTGAGTAAGAAGTCTGCATGAGATTCTAGAAGACAATTTATCTAATATGAAAGTACGGATTACACTATCATAAGATTTGATGTATTTGATATATTCTAGAGATATGAAGGATGAGTTTAGAAGACTTGAAGATTATGCAAGCTGAGTTAAGAAGATGTAATAACAATAATACTATTATTCTTAAAACGAGAAAAGGATGATGAGGGTTTAAACGAGTTTAAAAGAATATGTGTGTGTTTTCATGCTTGTGAAAGAAGGCTTCAAGGTAGGGTGCGAGGCCAATTATAGGGTTAGATGATACATTCTTAAAGGATCAATTGATTGTCGATTGTTGGCGGAGATGCGAACAATCAAATGTATCTTTTGTGTTGGGCTATTGTGAAGTGGAAAAATAAAGATAATTGGATCTAGTTCATCTAAATTTTGATGGAAGATGTTCGAATTCCATATGGAAATGGATATGGATGGACTTTCATAACGAGATAGGCAAAAGGTTAGTAAAAATGCATGGTTCATTGGTATTTTTTTTTTTACTTTTAATTAGTCTTCTTAATCTAATTAAATATTTGTGTGTGCATGGATTATGTTACTGCTCTTGACGAATTACTATCTAGAGTAGAACATAGATGGTGTGCTAGATAAATTTTTTTAAATGAAGGAAGACACATAATGGTGAAGATGTTAAGAAGTAGTTTTGGATTTACATAAAATTAAGTATCATATAGAATTTAGAAGAAAATCTTGAATAGTTATGGAGGTATAGCAAGATAGCACTTGAAGATTTCATGAAAGAGTGTCCACAAAAATTGTGTAAGGCTTACTTTCAAACATATGTTAAATATGATGTAGTTGATAATAAACTATGAGAAACATGGAATGGATTTATTTTACAAACAAGACATAAAAGTATTGTGTCTTTGTTAAAAGAGATTAGGATTCTTGTTGTGAAAAGAACTATAGCTAAGAGATTGTTTATATTTAGGTATAAGGGGAATTTTGGGCCTAAGATTTTAAAAAAAGATAGAAGAATTTAGATATCTAAGTTCAAAGTTTAGAGTATTGAATAATGGTGATGATGGGTATGAGGCCATAAACATATACAATTTTAATGATAAATATATAATACATATGGAAAGGAAAACATGCAACTTATAGGTTGTTTGAAGTGAATGAGATACCATGTCCACATGCTATAGTTGTTTGTGTAGGTAGAAAGTGAAATTTTGATAATTATCTTATCCATTAGTATTCTAAAAACATATTCTTATCTGCATAACAAAAGTTAATTGAGCCAACAAATGGTGAAAAATATTGGCTTAAGACATCAAAAGCAAAGGTATTACCTCCAAAGATAGTGAAACAACCTAGAAGAAAAAGAAGAAGAGATGTTTGAAATAATAGGAATCTTCTAGTGGAACTAAAATGTCAAGAAGAGGAAGGTGGATAACTTATAAAATCTTTTTTAAGAAAGGCACAATAGGCCTATATGCCTAGAGAATTTGAAGAATATGATGATTAATATTTTTAGTTGCGGAATCCGTTTATGTTTGTATATTTATGTATTTGTGTTTATGTTTTTTTCTTTACATTTATCACTATCATGTAAAGGTTGATGATGGTGGTATTGTATCTAATAGATTAGCTAATGTTAAGTTGAAGAAGGTCCAATTCATTCCGTTTCAAACTTTGGTTACGTTATGGTATAACTTGTCATAAGTAGTCGGATAAAAATGACTATTTTTATCGTCTTTTTGCTTCAATTTAATTATGGTGCAATGTTTATATTTGTTTGTTTATATAGTATTAGAGGAAGGGAAAGAAGAAGGTTGGAGCTACTTCACTCGACAAGAGGAAAAGGAATAAGGATATGTCCGTGAGCAACAAGGGCAATGAGAAGGAGAAGGTTGGTGGACTTGTTTTTTAAAGTATTTTTGTTATGGTGAAACTCGTCACCATTGGTCGGGTATAAATAATTATTTTTCTAAGTTTTTATAGTTTGTTTGCTTCAATTTAATTCCAAGAATTGTTTATATTTATTTATTTATTTGGTATTAGAGGAAATAAAAGCGAATGTTGGAGCCGCTTCTAATGGAATTGCTTTTATTATGGTAGAACCTGTCACCATTGGTCGAGTCTAAATGATAATTTTATTTTTTTAATTGAAAATCAAATTGGTTATGAAATTGGTTCCGTTATGGTGGAACCAACTATTTGTTTATTTGGAATTATTTGTTTGGTTTTAGATGAAGGAAAAGCAAAAGATTAGGGTTACATCTTCAAATATGAATGATGCAGATAGAACATCACGGAATAACAAAAAGAAGGTCACGGGAAGTTTTGAAAAAAAAAAGATGATGATCGGATCAAACTCCCAAGGCCGGAGGGTCACAAAAGCAAGTATTAGGAAAAAGAACATGTAATATTAGCATAGTGTTATTAAATATTTGAATGTTATTAAAGAACATGTAATATGTCATGAGTTGATAATGAATTCTTGACGAGTTAAGAACATGTAATTTTTCAGCTTATAATGTTCTAGAATACCTATGTAAGATGTAAAATTATTCGAGATCACATGAAATATAATTTTAAAGAATATTGATATTTATTTCATGATTATAGATATCATAGCTCTTATGTGAGGTAAACACGTAAAATCGAAGGAGGTAAATATAAGAACCTCAAACTTTGCTAGTTTTGAGAATTTATAACCGTCGGTATTAAATCTATGTAAGAGAAACCATAAACTTTTTTCAATCGTTGCTAACCTCATGTGAAACTCCTACAATATCATTTGTACAATAAACCATACTAACCATGCATCCTTGGTGCAAAGCATAAAATGCAAACATAAGTGGATAACCATACATCCCACCTTGAAGTGCTTCAAACCAAAAAGCATTGAAGGTAGGATACGTGAAAGTAAGATGACTCGCTTTATTTCTCCTAACCAAATTGCATGATCAGCGAGATAATCTAGGAGCAAATAGAATAGATTTCCCTATTGCAAAGTCCTTAAGGACAACATAAATGACAATTAAAAATCACAAAGGAAGGCTATGGAAATTATAAGCTGGTGGAAGTGACGAAACAATGAAATGCGTTCGGTTTCGAACGAGAAATAAAGGCTCTAACCACTATGTCCATGCAAAGTAACACAACATTATTAATTATTTAAATAAAATTTGTAAGATAACTAACATGCCGGTAGTTGCCCATATGAAATCGAAATGAAAAAGTGCAAAAAACGATCCACTCGATCCACTATAGGTCGGAAGCATATATCCTTAAAATATGAATGATCTAAGAAATTAAACAATAGCGAGATTCTCTTTTAAGTAAAATTTATAAAATAGTTAGAATAAATAACAACCATTTTCGAGTGAAAGAAGAAAAGAATAAACAATAACCCATCGGTAGTCAAACACTTTTAAAATACGGAGAGAGTTCCAACCTTACCTCTATCTCAAATTTACGATACTACTTTTCAAAATACATTCACAAGGTAAGGAATTTTTATCCATTTCATATAATCAAACCTAAAATTTTACAATCGCAGTGACAATAATTGTGCAAAATAGCTTGAGAACTCTATTAATTCTAGATTTAAACAACATTAAATTAGCACAACTCAACTTTAGATTTTCAATCTCTAGTAGTAGAACATCTTTCTCCTTTTATTTATGCTCATTGTAAGCATTATTCTTAATTCTCATAGTCTCCAATTCAATAAAAAATTCTTCATTCTCACTTCTTAATATACTAATTTCTTCATTCAATCTAACATTCTCCGAAATCAATCTTGAGTTCTCGGTATGTATTTCCTGTTGGCAATTTCACAAACTTAAAATAATATCTTTAGCTCTGCCATCTAACTCATCCTAGAGCCACACTTTAAAATCGCACTCAAAATTTTTTCTACCTTTAGCTTTGAATCGAATTGTACAAACATAATACTTTACACCTAGGTGGCCATCACTCCAAGACACTCGCCTTACTTGTTTTCATGCCACGAGTAACACGAAATTTTAGGTTCTTTCTCATTTTGATGTAATTCTTTATCACTAAGAACACAAATCGAAGAATGCTTGAAAGAGGAAGAGGATGTTAATGACAAAGTCATTCTATTTTGGAATCACAATTTAGGAATTAGGAATTAGAAACTGCAATAGAAGGAGAAAGAGAGAGGAAAGGTTAAAGGAGAATGAGAATTAAGGTTTATAATTGGGAAACTAGGGATTCGAGAATGATAGGGATGAGGATTAGGGGTTGGCAAAATTGAGAGAATGAGAATTAGGGTTTATCATTGGGAAATTAAGGATTAAAAAATGATAAGGAATAAGGATTAAGGTTTAGCTTTGGCGAAATTAGGATTGAAAGCGAGAATAAAGGGGAATGAGAATTAAGGTTTATAATTCGAAAATTAGGGATTCGAGAATGATAGGGAATGAGGATTAGGGTTTGGCAAAATTGAGAGAATAAGAATTATGGTTTATCATTGGGAAATTAGGGATTAAAAAATGATAAGGAATAAGGATTAAAGTTTAGCTTTGGCGAAATTAGGATTGAAAACGAATAAAAGGGAATGAGGATTAGCGTTTAGGTTTTGCCAAATTAGGAAAGGAGAAAGACAAATTGGAATCGATTAGAATCGGAGGTAGAACGAAGAAGAAATAAGCATAAAAACTAAAATGAATAGAGAGAGGGAGTAATTTGGGAAATTTTTGGATTAAGTGGTTGTTATTTTCATAATCTATTTTTAGGTTTATTATTACTTAAATAATTAAAAATCCATCGAATTATTTTTATTTCCATTAAAAATCAATTTAGGCTCGCTTTGCTAAATGTCAATTTATCATTGGGTAGATCTTACTATGTGTGCCTATGTGTCAAAATTAGGGTCCGAACTAACACAAAATTAAGAGTATAACACTTAAATCCAAATTGTTTGGAGTCTTGATATACGCAAAACCCTTAATTTAATTATAACTTCCCAATTCAAACCTTTAATCAATCAACTTTTTAGTAAATGATCAATTCTATCCTAATTCATCCAAGGCTCATTCCATTAACCTTTAATTGCATTTACATAACTTAATTCCTCATTTTCCCAAATTCTTTTTAATTAAAACCAAAATTTTGGATTTTTTACTATTTATCATTTTTAACCTTTTAATTTCTCAAATTTACTCAATTCCACTTAAATTACTTTCATAATCCATTTACTCAAGATAATTAAACATCATTTAAGTAATTATAATTACTTTGAATCACTTTCTCCCAAATGGGTGTCAAAACCCTAACCTTATTCTAATCAATTCCTCAAGAAGTCAACAAATCTAAAACAATTGCATTTCAATATTATCATTAATTAATTACATATAAACATTCTAATTTAAAGATCAATTGATAAAAAATCTCACCTTACACTTTGTCCTTCAACTTTCAAATCAATCCTAGCTCTCTAAGCTTCCTAAGCTCCAAGTTAGTTAAACTCCATTTAAATCTTCTTGTTTAAGGCTTTCATAAGCTAATTTAATAAGGAATTAGCTTAGGAATTGAAGTGAGAATTTAGAATAAATTTTGGAAGAAGAATGCGTGAGAGAGGGAAAGGAGAAGAAAAGAGAAAATTTTGGAAAAATAGGGTAGCTATTGCCCCTTTTTATTTATACCAACTCGATATATATATATTCAAGTTATTACAAGCACTTTTAACCAACTATACCCTAGTTTGGAGATCGAAAAGCAACTCACGTAGGCATTTCATGACTTAAGTCTCTTCCTTATCTTTTTCTTCTATTTCCTCGAGTCTCTCGTTGAAATTGATAAGGTGTTTCTCTACCTTTATGAGACATTGCTCAAAGGCAACCATAACATCACGAGACTTCCCATTTCCATTCTTAGGTTAAGGAGATAGAATTTTTTTTCCTAATATCCATAACAACATTCTCAACACTAGAGCTTGACATGCTTACTCTTTGAACACTTAGTTTGGTTGCAAGCTTAACCATACTTTGATAAAACTCAACTCTGTAGCACTTGTCCCGTACTTGGCATCTTCTAAGCTCTAGCGGCACTTAGCTCACTTTTCACTCAAGCCAAATGAAGTCAACCTTTCTCCAACACTAAATTGTAAAGCAAGAAAGACATAAAAGAGATATTAGAAAACTCTTTGTATTTATTGTCAAATACAACTTTAGTTTACAATTTTTGAATGGATCTCTTGGATCTCACTCTCCTAAATTATATGGTCAAATAAAGGCATCACCTATACATAGTTATCCACTTCCTCAATAAATGACCATATATCTAAGTTATCCATCTCCTCAATAGATGACCATATATCCAATCTAATAACTGCAAGTGATTCTTGAGAAAATTGTTATCTAAATAGTTATAAAGAATTATCAAAATATGCACATAAGAGACTCTTTTTAGAATTTTCTAATACACGTCTAATTTTTTTTTTTTTGAACAATTTAAAGACTTCTCCAATGCTCTAAAGGCTTCCAAATTTATTAAACATTCTCAATTAATCTCTAGAAACTTTTTTTTTTTATGCAGAGCGTAACATCATGCTATTATATAAGAATTAATCGAGTTATTTATCCAAAAATTAACTTTAGAAAATGTTTGTTTATGATACAAAGTCACGGGCCTTTCCAAATGGGCCTGCTACATGCGTCAATAGAGGCCTCCAAACATGACAAAATGTTTATTTACGCAACCCAAAATTAGGGTTCTAATTCTGATCCTTTTAAGATACCAGCATTTCCTAGTACTACAAAATAGTTCCAAAAGCCAATAAAACCACTACTAGTTTTTCTATTTTTTATTTTTCAAAAAGAAAAAATCCGTAAGGGCTTTAACATCTTCCACATTAACCCATACCCATCTTTCTAAACTCTAAAACCCACTCCTCTAGTCTTCTCCAAAAACGCTCTCTCTCTTTCTCTCTCTCTCTCTCTAAAATCCCAGCCCGCCGCTTCCTATTTCCATCTCCACTCCTTCTCTCCAAAACCTCCACAGAACCCTCAACCACCACCACTGCCATTTGGTGGTGCTTTCCGATCACAAAAAAAGAATAATCATCCCCTCCATCGATAAGCAAATGGCGGCCACTTCTACCTCAGAAATGACTGACGGACCCGTCCTCAGCCTAATCACCAAACGCCTTCGCGCCCTCAAGAAGAAGTACAACCGAATCCTCCAGATGGAAGAGGCCGTCGGCCAAGGCAAGACTATCAACAAAGAACAAGAGGACGTCCTCCGTTCCAAACCCTCTGTTTCCGCCGCGCTTGATGAGCTCGAGAAGCTCCGCCAGCCTCTCTCCGTTGCTGTCTCCGAAGAAATTGAGCTAGCTGCCCATCGATTCAACCCTAAATCTGATAGCACAGTTGTTCCAGATGTAAGGAATGGAGTGGTGGAGGATCTGTTGCATTTGTTGTATTTTGGGTCGTTGTTTGATGTGAAGTCTCAGAACGATTTTACTGCCACCATGTTGACTCGGACGCATGAAAGAGGTTGCTGCTTGACATATGACTATGTCACTGATGATGCTACCGATCTGCTTGGCGAGGGGGATTTGGATATGATTTCTAAGATGGGTGGTTTACTGATTTCGCGCCCCGTCAATTCTAGCTTATCCCATAAGAATGCTTTGCAGCGCTGTATGGAGCACGCCAAGTTGTGGCTGGCTAATTCTGAACAACCTATTGATTCCAATGATAACGTTTCCTGTCTGTAATCCCTCTCGTTTCTTTTTTTCTTTAATTATTGTTTACTATTCTGGGATCCTGAGTTCGTTGATTGTCTTTGCAGATGCCGAATTGAGGGAGAGGCTCAACAAGATTATGGCTTCTGATTATTTCACTACCACACCAGAAATGAAAGCTCCAGTGGAAGTGGCAGCTGCTGCAGGCAATTACGTGCCTTTCCAGGTCCCTTTCTCAGTGCCAGTACAAGTGGACGATTCTGTTGCGCCATACCAGGTATTGAACATCATTTATTTGTGACTTTTGGTTCTTTGCTATCTTATGTGTGTGCCATGATATTAGCTTGTTGTGCTGTTATGTGAATTAGATTAGTGTTTTGGTTTTTATTTTGTGTTTTTTAATATGCATGCTGTTGTGGTATTTACTTTAGGCTAGCTGCCCTTTTGTGTTCAATTATTAATTTTATCTTTTCAATTACGATACACTGGTTGGTGTGTCTTAATTTTGAATGCTTCTTGTTACCCAATAGTCAGGCTAAAGGTTTTTCTATTGTAGCATTTATGTTGTCACTACTATAAAAAAGAAAAACCGAGGCAGAGGACATAGTGAGCTCCTCCAATTTTCTCTTCCTTCTGTGTTAAGCTATTGTTTTGTAGAAATCAATAATTATTTACTCAAACGAGCATTCAAAATGGTGGTTTTGGGCCCAAACATCCGAGCACGTCCTTGTTTATTTATGGTGATCTATGGGGAGAAAGTCAAGTTTGATATGATGAATGTTTTGTCACAGTTAGTTTTTTAAGGCCTCTGTCGCTTGATCACGCTGCAGGAGCAAAGGCAAAGTAGCATTTGAAAATTTTGATAGTTTACTGTAGCGCGTAACTGTAGCAGTTTTATATGCTATTTCTTCAGCCCAGACAACCAGCCTTTGGCTGCGTTAGCTACCCTTTAGCTATCTTTTGCCTTTTCTCCCTGTGTCAACATTTGAACTTGAGTGTTTTCGTTTAAGGTCAATAATATCTGGGTGCTTTTTGCATATGGTAGTATGACCTTTCGGTGTGGTTGTGCCATGTCTTATAGGATCATCAACAAGTACCTCATCACAATAATTGCCTCTCCCTTTGGTTTCTCCACTTTTGTCTTTGAACTTGGTGAAATGATCCCTTACCCAAATTTACTCAAAACCTGAACTGAACTATTATTTCGGTTCAGTTTGGTTTTTCATTTTAACCCGAATACTGGCACCCCAACTCGTACAAATAGATTCAAGGAACCTCTCCTTGATGGGAAGCATCCCATTGCTCACATATTAAGCAAAAGCTTCACTATATTCAACGCTATAATTGAAAGGCTACAAGCATATTTACAAGCTTGATTTATTCTTAATCCTAATTAGACTTGGATTGCTAAATAAGAAACATATATTCCTATTTGAGTAGTCATATTTTAGAATGTTATTTTATATTTCTTATCAACCTAGTAATATTTAAGAAGCCCTAATCCTAATCCTTTTTGGAAAAGTAATCACTGCTAAGCTCCCTGTTGTATGGGCTGTGGTAAACATGCTCTTTTCTTTCTTTGGGGTATAATTCTATGAATAAGTGCTTGTCTTATTTATCAAGGTTGGGTTCAACATTGATAGATGAAAATGTTAGAACTTGGCATGATGCAATATTAGAACTACTGTTTCTAATGCAATTGTAATTAAGAACTAGCTTGCAGTCAGATTCTTAACAGGTAACCAGTTAGAACATAGAAGGAGGCTTTGGATGCCATAACCCATTTGCATTTGTGTCTGTGAAGGAAATTGTAAAAACCAAAATTGCTGTATCCCATCATAGAATACAAAATATTGATGTATGGCAATATGTGAAACTAAAGAAAATGTTATTTTTGTGAGATGGCTTTTTCATTGACAGAAGCAAACAAATTGATCTCTTCTCTATTTTACCTTATTATGTCCAGAAGGATAAGGTTACCCTCTATGGGTAGGGAATTTGTTTGGTTGGCAACCCTTCATAAGGTCAATGCTGACGAATTATCATAGGTCTGGAGATCTAACAAGGTATTGTCCCTATAATCCAGGCATATGCACCTTGCATATTAATAGTAATGGAGCATCGGGAAACCTTTTCTTGCATTGTTCTGTCACAAGTCAAGGGAATAGTTCATTTTCATAGTTTAGAGAGCATTGGCTCTGTACCAATAACCTGAAGAATCTATTTAAATTTATGAATTTTTTTTTAGGATGAAGAGAGGCAAGATTCTTTGAAAGTGTGCATTATTCATGATGATTTGTTGTATTTGAAATGCAAAGGCTTTCAAGGCAATCATTTTCCATTTCAGCTACTCTGTATAGAAGTTCTTTCTGTGGATTTGTTATGTTCTTCCATGGGCTTTTTTAGATGAGTGTCCTTGCTTATTGGTAATGAGAATCAGCAAGCTTTCTTATTTCAGCTGTTATTTCTAAGTGACGATGTCTTATCCCTTCATGATTCCTCTTAATAGAATCTTCTATTAGAAACATCATAGAAACTGTTTTTTGTTTTGTACATTAAAATTCATGGGGGCAATGTTAATTGTCACATATGGTTGTTTATTGTATTCCTGTAAGAACTTGTGTCAAATTGTTGCTTACGCATGTGCTAGTTTCACCTGTCAACAAGCGTACTTGAGAATTATATTTTAATTTAACATCAGCTTGCTTTGGGATATGTCCCTGTGGGTATCATTCCCTCATGGATCTTCCCTGATAAGGCGCTGGATCAGCTAAATCTTCATGGAAAGAAATCAGTTGCCATTTTAGGAATATGGAGGACAGGACGTGGGGGTTTGCTGATTTAATATCGGAAGTGAGAATCTACTAACATGGAGAGAGAGAGAGAGAGGGAGAGAGCATCCCATTTTTCTTTGCTTTGTGAAGTGATTGGAGTACTAACATCAACATTATCCTTTGTTGTTTTGAATTTGATTTTGTGCCTAAGCCACTTATATTTGTTTAGGCGTTGTGGTGCTTTGGAAGGATGTACTGTGTTTGTTCTCCTTTTGACCTTATAATTGCATTTTTCAACCCCAATTTATGCTGTTTTCTTTTTGTGTGTCCTAGTAGGAGACTATTCAAGTTGCTTAGGCGATTGAGAGTCTTAACTGTTAAAATTATATAGTGTGGAGAGCACATTTCAAAGCTTGGATTTTCCATAAAGAAAGAAAGAAAAAAGAATGGGAAATGCTGTGTTCATGCAGTTTTAGTCAGATTGAGGAGCAGGGAAGGGAAGGCTTAAAAAGAAGGGCATTCTTGTGTTGGTGAGAGGGGTAACACATCTGTTCTAAGTAGTCGCATACCTTAAGAATTTGTGAATTATGTTTGAAGTGGAGTTCCATACAGTTTTGTGGACAGGAGGTTCCTGTTTCACTTAAAAGGGGATTGAATGAAAATTTTAAACCACCTTTTATGAGAATATAAGGTATTGCTTGTTTTACACTTCATCATATGAAGTAATTAGGGATCTGTTATCTATACCACCATCAATTTGAAGCTTCCTTTATTGTAAGGACTGAATTAAGTAAAGTCATTCATTCCTTCCAGATGTGAAACATCCTCTTGAGCTCATCTTGCAAGTTTAGTTGTTTCTGGAAGTTAAAATAGCTTTTATGAGAACTTGCTTCAGTTTTCAGCCCATGGTTTAACAACTATTTATGACTGCGTGTTGTGTATTTTTTTTCCCATTTAATCGAGCTAGCTATTGTTGATTACTTCCAAAATAGGCTACTCTGTCCATCCTGCTAAATTAGATTGAAGTATGTAATTTATTGTTGGATGCTTGTTGGTTGTGATTTACAATTTCTTAATCATCCTTTTATTTTGTTTCTCTGATAATTTCTTTAGTGAGCCATCCTTTCATTCTGAATGTTTGTTGAACCTATTTCTATTCCAATGGAGTTAGTGCTGTTGCTAGTTTTTGTTGATTTTGGACGTGTGCAATAGATGGTAGTTCAAAATTGCAATGGTGCTATCTTCCATTGATGCTCAGTTGGAAATTTAATCAGTTCAATGGTGATTGTCTTTGTCTGAATTCTTACAAATTTGCATACCTAAGCCAAAACTCTCCTGATTATGCTGTTATTGATTGATTGGATTTTTGTTCCTCTTCTAGTCACTTGGTTTTGTGCCTGTCGGTCAGTGAACTCTCGTTTTTAACCTTTTTTTCTTCAAGCTTTAAGTATTTTTCTTGTGACTTCTCAATCTTTTATTATTATTATTTTTTTCTATAGGAACAAAAAGAGACAGAAAATTTCCAACACGAGACTGGTGATGGTCAGTCTAGTCCTGCTGAGGAACTTCAGAAGGTGCCTGCACTTGGCATGATATAATCTCCCCCTCACCTGCATGTATTTATTTGATTGAATGTGGTTGGTTTCTCCATTGCAGGATGCAAAGGAGACTGAAAATCCAGCAGAAGTTGCCCCAGATCAAGAAGAGCAAGACAAGCCATCGACAGAAGTAGTAGAAGATCATAATCAGGTGGAGACTAATGAGCAACAATATGTTTCTCGAAGGAACTACCAGAACCAAAGAGGTGGTCGTGGTGGCAGCAATGGTGGTCGTAGGGGTCATTCAAATGGTCGTGGTGGTCGAAGTGGTGGTAGAGGAGGTGGCAGCTACCAAAATGGCCGCAACCAATATTATGATCAACCCGGAAACTTTTATCCGAGGAACTACTATAATAATCGAGGAAGGGGCGGCGGCAGAGGTGGTGGGCACACTTACAACAACCATGGTTCAACAGGTCAAGGCAGCCATGCCCCTGCTGATGTTGGGGTTGCTTCATGATGATAATAATTGGGCGACCATAGGGTGTCAATTACCTAGTTTTGCAGGTGGGTGGTGAAAACATTTATTTTGCTTTATGTGAAACTTGTCATGGATAGGTTGATGTTGATGAATACACCACCCAGGACACCCCCTCTTTTTGTAGGTGGGTCAGTGGACTAATATTTAAAACTTGAAGAAAATGAAGTTCAACTTGATTTGCCAAAAAGGGGTTAATTAGCTTTGATAAACTTGATTTAAGCGTTGGGTAGGATGGGCAAGGCTTTTCTAGTTTATGCATGATTCTTGCGGTGCATCTGGTTTATGAGCTAGACGTGGAAGGTTTATAGTTCACTAGCCAGCCGGAATCCATTAATTTCACCCCGTTAACGTTGCTATCTTCAATTTTTGTTTACTTATGCAATCTTCACTGTATCCTGATATGGTCGACTGAGTGCTAAAATAATCATCCGCCAACGTCAAGATGTCAGGAAAAAGAATGGTAATTATGGGAAGGATAATAGAGGAAAAGAAAAGAAGTGAAATTGAATCAATAATAACAATAATTGGATATCCATCATGAGTTGGAACCTGCTCTATATTAATTTTAATCTTGCATGATACAAACCATTGGCTCTCTGGAGTCCACCCATGAACACAGTTTATGTTGGCTTGGGGTCTGAAGGAACAAAATGGCAATCTGGTGGATGTCATTGTAGTTTTTTAAAAAAAAAACAAAAAACAAAAACAAAAAGATTTAAAAACGATTATTAAAAGATGTGAAATGAAGAATAGCTATAAAAGAACTAAAAATTAAAAATGTATTTTCCACATTATTCTAGTGTATTTCATTAAAAAAAAAATTAATAAATTTACTTTAAATGTTAGATTCAAGGTGAAACATAGAAAATGAGTTAAGGGAACAACTTATTTTAATCGTCAATATCAACTACTTGAGATTAATAACAAGCAAGGACAAGGATACAAATTAAACCTTCCATCTTGTTATCGCATTACAGACGGTGTGGACCGTTGTTTTTTATGAGTGTGACCGAAGATGGGCATATTATACCTGGAATCTGGAAGAATATCAGGCGCACGCAAGTGGTGATGTAACTCCAGTTCGGGTTTGGGTCTCATGCTAAAAGAAGATGCCACGAGAACCGCAAATATGAGTTCACCACCGAATCCTATCATTTGTGATTGCCTTCTTTTAACCCATCTTTGACATTTGTCTCCACCACGACTCTCTCTTTCTTTCTTTCTTTTTCATGAAAACACATGATAAACTTTTTTCGTACAAAAATACATGATCATTTTACATATACCACACATGTATGAAAGGATGCATGTTAATTGTACAAGATTTGAGCTCTGAACCTTCGATCTCAACCTCACAACCAAGAGTTTTAAAATTTTATAATGGAAAAAATAATTTACTAGAAAAATTTAAGTGATTGCATCTCATAAATTTTATTGGGCATTACCCTTTGGTTCAATTTTTTGTTTCCTTTTTCTTTTTCTTTTTTCTTGGTACAAAGGATTTAGAAAGCACATGGAGTAGAGCCGAAAAAAGAGAACTCCTAAGCATCACCTAACAAAAGATCACGAGTGCTCTAGCTGGACGGAAAGCATGAACTTTTTGCTTTTTTCTTTTTTCTTTTGCTTAACAGCAGTAATAATAGATGCTCATAGCTTGGCTGAACTTATTGTTTACGCCCTGTTGTTTTCAGTAATTCATCAAAAAAGTTCATCTCTTATCATTTATTCCATCAATTATTTCAACCAACTGAATATTCTTTTTAACTAAATGATTCATTATTAGTATAATCAAATTTGGAATGATTGTGTTCAAAGTGTCCGATGGTCAATAAAAAATAAAATGTGTTCTGTTATTATTTTGACTTATAAAATAATAAATTTAATTTTGATTGATTTAAAAACTAATATGATGATATCCTATTACTTGTAAATATTTTTTAAAAAAAAACTATATAATTCATTATTATCAACATTCGTTTTATTTATATTTACATCATTATCTATTTCAATCTTTCTATTGAATTTTTTTTTCAATTTAGATAAATCATACTAAATTAATTAAAATAAAAAATATAACTGTTTAATTGACTGAATTAGTGATATAGAAGTTTTTTTTTTTTTTTAACAAATTGGTTAAAACACAAACTATAAATAATGGATTTAGCCCTCCAAGCTTTGTACGAAAATCTATGCACTCGACATTGTCGAGTCAAATAACTTTGGGTTCAATTAAGCAAGAAATTGATCTTGACTTATCTAAAATTACGTGGAGTTACTCCTTGGAATGCTTTCTGTAATAAATAACTTCAAAATAAATAAATTAAATTGCACACTAAATCTCTCATTTTGAGTGTGGATACATCAAAATGCTACCGTTGAAGTACCGTTATACGTCGTCCTTGCTTTATTCCAAGGCACTAGGCGTTTTTTTTTTAATTTAAAGTTTATTAATTAACGGTTTAAAATATAGGAGAATATGGATTCTCCAAAAAAGCACTACTCCATCTGACAAAATTTATGCATATGTAGAAAATGGGGAATAGGATCATGAGCAAATAAGCATTTACAAAGGAAAGTGAGAGGAAAATAATTAATTGTTAATTTAGATGAAATGATGTTAGAGGAGCTGAGTTCATATGCCTCAAACCTTTCTCAATTGTTTTCGACGGTCCTTATAATTTAATGTTTGGTGACTTCAAAGAATCGGATTCTCTGGGCTGGAAACAGAATAATTTCCACTAATTTGGACCTTATATAAAGCAGTTCCGCCGGTCCTACTTTCAGCACAAAGTCTCCTTCTCCATATACAACAGTACCGTTCTGAAGTAGAAAAGTTGTCATACGTATGTCACGTAGGTCAGCTATGGACTTTGGTCTGCCAGTTCTTCACTACCGAGGAAGCACGGTGCAAAGAAGCTTTTTCAGTTTTGATCACTCTAATGCATTGCCATGCACCAAGCCAGCTCGGATTGTGGATGTTCATTCTGCGAACCAATGGAGATCCTATTTCGAGGCCTCCAAGCAAAACAACAATTTGGTAAAAAAATTTCATTCTTTTCTGTTTTTTTTCCCTATCTCCTTTGTTTTTTTATTTAACTCATATTTCTCTTCACAGAACTAATATGTTACGATTTAAACATGTGATTTCTTATCGTAAGAAACTATTATTGTTAAACTACAAGTTCTTTAATATATATATATTTTTATATAATTTACCTTAGCAATACTAATTCTAACAAGTACTCTTTTTGAGACCATTCTCTCAAGTGGTAAAATACGTAAGCAGAGAGATGACATCTTCGTGCCTTTTCTTTCTTCTTTTTTTACCTCTACTGCCTGCAGTAATTGTTAACTGGATATAGGGCTTGGATTGGGCTTCTACCTCATCGTTGGCGACCCAATCGTCATCCAAATCCAATAATACTACGATCTCTATCTGATTAATATCATAATATTTACTATTTTCTTACGGTTTATTCTTCTTGTGATACAGTTGGTGATTGAATTCACGGCAACATGGTGCAAACCTTGTCGATACATGGAACAACCCATGAATGACTTAGCTGCCAAGCACACAGACGTTGTCTTCGTCAGGATTGACGTCGATGAATTGGCGGTAATAACACTCTTCTTCTTCAGCAGCTAGCTAGTGTGTGTGTGTATATATGTGATGATGATGATGATATATTGGTTTGATTTCTTGTCTTTCTTCTTAAACCATGACAAAAATGTACATAAAAACAGCGTGTGGCTCAGCAATTCAATGTGACTACAATGCCGGCATTTTCACTCGTGAAGAAAGGGAAAGTAGTTGATGAGGTTGCAGGGGTCAAGAAGAATGAGCTTGAGAACAAGATTGAGAAGCATAAGATATGATTCCCATATCACTATTAATCAACGCCAAAACCCTGCTGGAATGCATATCCAGTAGTGAGTGAAGAGTTAAATAAGGCCTCGAAAGCTATTTGCTGGTGCTAAAATAATGGTCTTTTTTTAAATATATAGTATTATTATATTGCCAAGTTGATTTTGTTTGTTAACAAAACTCAATTCTCTCCATCCACTGTTATCAGCAAATTAAAGTCACTTGTCAAATATAATTGACATTTAGAATTGGTTTTGCTGGAGTGGACGAAAGCATCAAACATGATATCAAAAACAGAAATTACGTTAACAACACTTCAATTTGAAAGCCATTGATGCATCGATTTTCACATTCAACTTGGAAACTATAAGACTAAAATTAGATCAATGGTACACAAATTTAGACCAGAAGGGCCACAGTCTTAACGTGGCAGCTTGGCCAGTAGTCAAGGATTACAAGTTCATTCACACCACATTAAAATAATGAAAGCGTGCAAATTCGCAAAATGCTTCAAGTTTTCTTCCTACTATGCACAATCTTACTCTAGAAAAGTGGATAACATAACGTATTTACATCCAATTAACATAAAGTGATGATCAGTGTTAAAGGAATTACTTAAATTGATGATCGGTGTTAAATGGATAATTGACAACCCAAGCTTTGAACTCTGAATTAATTATCAGATCCACCTAGCGCCTTCTTGAGGTCTGATTTCTGTTCTGCAGTAAGTCTTGATGGAAACGTGACATCAAACTTGACTCTAAGCTTTCCCCTCTTGTTGGGCTCTTTTGAGATGGGCATTCCTTCATTTGAGATCAGGACCTCCTGACCTGGTTTGACTATATCTGTTACTGGGATTGTGAGATATCTTCCATCCAAGGTTGTCAATTCGATGGTTTTCCCTGTGAGAGCCTCCAATAGTGAGATTTTCTGATTGACCACCAGATCATTCCCATCCCTCTTGAAAACAGGATGGGGCTTCTCATCCACCACGAAAATAAGATCAGCTGGAGTGATACCAGGTTCCTGATTGCCTTTCTCAGGAAAAGTGATTTTTGTGCCCTTCTTCCAGCCAGGTTTGATGTCTATTTTTAAGATTTCCTCGACAGTTTTTGGCTTGCTGCAACAGAGTTACTGATACATCAAATCAACGGAAGAAGAAAGATCCCAACCAAATAACAAGAGCGGCAAATGACAATCAATAGGGAAAAAAATTAGGTAAAAAGTCAGTGCCATAAAATTCTTAATTCTCACACATTCGAAATCTCTGTAAGATAAGTCTAACGAAAGATATTAAACTTCTAGAGGCATTCCAACTCATTTCGCAGTGTCTAAAGCTACGAATGGCAGCAACATTATTTTAGTTAAGTTGGCCGACAATTGAATTCAACCTCTTTGCAAATCAACCCTGAATGACTCGCTCAAAAAAAACCTTAAAAGAACAGATATCTCTGATTAACATAAACCAACAACAATCCATCCAATTTAAAATTTCAATTTTGAAAAGCACTGCTCGCAAGCAGCAGACCAGTGTTATCAACAGGACATTACAGTTATAGGATGTTGGCACCATAAATAACTAATGACTTGGACTAATTAATGAACTGAAATTGCGCTGCCTAGTTTCAGAGATTTTCATTCATACTATTTTAGTTTCTCAGGCGCCATTTTTTCTCCCTGAATGGTCTCTACTGCATTTTCCCCTTAAGCTATCCTTATCCAAAAACAAGCAAATACGCATTCGTTTATAAATATACTGATTTTGAAAATTCTCTCATCCTCAATATATCGTCATAGCTAAAATTATCACTTATCAGTAACCAAGGAATGAGGGGAAAAAGAAACATGATATTCTAAATCAAGCAGTGAATATAGTCTCCCAGCTACCATCTATATATTTGACATAAAAAAACAAAAAACAAAAAATTGCTATTTTCCCAAAAACGAAACTCCGAGACAATCCTCCTATTTCATGGTCTACTATTTATTTACAAAATTCAATAACAACACCAAGCTTCAATCCCAATAATAATTGGGGTCCTTTTGCGCCATTCCCCAAGATCATATATTTTTCTGTATAAAATATTAGTAATAAATCAATCTTAAAAGTGCAAAAAGACAAAAAAAGGAAAAAAAAGGGACGAACTAACCCGAAATCATCAGGAACAGAACGGGAAATCCTCATCTTTCTTCGGGTACCTTTATAAAGGTCCTCCAAAGTGCAAAACAACTTGCTTTCAACGGGCGCCGCTTTCCTGTTAACCTCAGCCCCGTAATTATTACCATTATTATTATTCCTAAAATGCCCCTTGCCAACACCACCGGATCCGCCACCTCCGAAAAATTCAGCGAAAATATCCTCCGCATCACGCGGATTGAACCTGAAAGAAGCACCGACATTGGTATTAGGAGGGGGACCTTGATCAAAAGACTTGAGGCCTTCTTCACCGTAGAGATCATAGATCTGACGCTTGTTAGGGTCTGATAGGACATCATAGGCTTCGGAGATAAGCTTGAATTTGGCTTCTGCGTCTTTCTTGTTCACAGGGTTCTTGTCTGGATGCCATTTCATTGCCAGTCTCTTGTATGCCTTTTTCATATCTTCTTCTGTTGCGTTCCGGTTCAGTTTCAGTATGTTATAGTAGTCAACACCCATTTTTTCCTTCTTTCTTCTTCTTGATTTTCCTTTTGGTTTAACAGCAATTGCAGAGAGGTCGAGAGCAGAGTGCAAAGCGTGTATGCGTATATTTCGTGGACAAGAAAACCGGCGAGTCGGCGGGGTGTGCAGAGCAGATGGATTAGAGTGTTGTCAACGCGTTCTATGGGATATTTTAAAGAGTAAAATATCATTTAGTCCTGATTTTTATTATTCTTTTCTAATTCAATTCCTTTTTTTAGAAAATGATAAATCAATCCCTTAAATAGATCTCACTGTTTCTTTTTCTTAAATTTCCAAATGCCCCGTTTTGAATTCCCTTTTAGTTGGTCGTATTAGAAATAACATTTGAGAGAATTTAAAAAAAAAAAAACCAATTCCTATATCAAAAACTAACAAAATAATTAAGTTACAAATAAATATGAAAATATAGAAACTGAGAATATTGGGTATTTTAATTAAAGGGACCAATTAATTATGTTACCAAAAGATCAGGGATTATATAATAGTTTGTGTTGTGTGACAGCTTTGAAGGATAGAAAAATCCGTAACCGACCAAAATACATGGAAGGACAACCCAAATTTCATATTCTTTTTTTATTTGTTTACGCTGAACTTCATATTTTTCGAGAGAATCTGAATGACGACTTATTTCTCAATAAAAGTGACCCTACGAATTCATCAGCTCATCAATCAATGCATTAATTTATGGTATTTATTCAAAGATCGTGTTGATTGGATTGGATCCACGTAATAATGAGATAACTGTATTTTAGGTACCTTTAACTGTTTTCCACTCAAATTCATAAATTTTATTTTTTTTAGTATATTAATTTTTTAAAAATTATCAATTTAATAAATTTATTTATTTTTTAATTAAATAATGACTTATTTATTATCATTAAAATATTAAATTATAATTTTTTTTATCATTCAAGTACATAAATTTTAATTCTATTTTGTTTGAGTATATTAAGTTTTTTTTTTTTAAACTGCAAATGAAATATTTTCATTAATTTCTCTTTTAAATAAAATCTTCATTATCCAATACCAAATTACAAATTTTTTCCTTTTTTGTTATAGGGAATTTTTTCCTTAAATTATTCTACCATTTCAAAATTTGATAAAAAAAAATAAATGTTATTTTTTAGTTATAAAAATTCAAAATTAAATTCAGATAGATTTGAGTGTAAAAATTAAAAAAAAAATTGATGAAAATATTGAATTTGTAGTTTTAAAAAAATTAATATATTCGAATGAAAAAAAAATCTATACACTCGATTGAGGAAAAAAGAAAAAAATAATTTAGTGTTTTAATATAGAAATTAATAAAAAAAAACTCAAGTGGCAAGATAAAAAATTAATGTATTGAAAAAAATTCTATATATTCAATTGAAAAAAATTAAAAAATTAATATACTTACCAAACAATTATCTCACATGACAATGAAGAAGATAATTCAAACACTTCATGAAAATAATAGTATAGTTGTGGAAAGGTCGCTGGAAACAGAGCCGTCAGCGTATCAAAAAGGTTTGATATGTGCATGAATTATAAAGAAAGAAAGAAAGAAAAATAAAAAAACGGAGAACGTGCAAGCGAGTCATACTAGTAACAGCTGGACTGCTGCTGACTCGGGAGTAATGAGCATCTCGATTTGTTCCTTTTTTTTTCTAATGCTTCAGGCCCTCAATAACTTATCAAATTCGATGAGTAAATTATAAATCAGGATTTTTAACACGTAACTTGCGCGTGATTTCTTTTTTCACAAGTTTACTCTTTACTTATCAACACATCTTTCATCACATAAAATAATAATTAGTTTTTAAAAGTTAAAATAATTACTGAAAATTTAGAGTAAGAAAATAATCATTTACTTAAAAATATTTGCAAATTAAATATATTTGACTCCAAAAGTCTTTTACTTAATAAATAAAAGAAGACAAAAAGTTTAACAAATGAAATCCATTTAATTCCAAAAGGTTTTTTTAAAACCAACCACTCTAACATAATTTCATGAGGATACCGTCAAAAAATATATTCGTTAATTTTGAACAAAAATTTTTAATATAAAAGCATATTAGAGATTGTTATATTTAGGGATATATCGGATCCAACTAGATATATAAAACTATAGTAAAAAAGATCCCTAAAATATAAGGACAAAATCAAATTCATTTCCCTAAAAAAAGATAAAGACATATTTTCTTAAGTGTGAGATACAAAGTTATGCTCCACATGAATTGCTTTCCATCTCTTGAATGAATGAGAGTTACATAAGTTGGTTTTAGAAAACTATTTTAGTTTTTCGTTATATTATAATATGTTTCGTAATGTAATGGAACACTTTACAAATATTATAATGGTAGCGTGTGTTATGTATAGGAAATAACAATTTATTTTTATTATTTTATTTTTTGCCAAAAATCAGAATTTCATTGATAAACCAAAATACAAAATGAATTTTATAGCCCCAAATGACCCTCAAGACAAATAAAAAAAGAATTAAAAAAAGGAAAAAACTAAGAGCAAACATAATTATATGGTACACAAAAAATAAATCATAAATTAACCTTAAATCTAGTGGGGACCTATAACTCATTTATCTCATAACCAATTTCTTTTGATAAGAACTTTCATCAAATCTGCTAATCAATGCGGATCAAGATCCGTAGAATAAATCTTCACAAACTCTACATATGCAAGAAAAAACCAAAAAAAAAATCATAAAGAAAAGATCCAAGAACATAAAAAAAAAAACCCAAATAAAATGGATTTTGCAAAACAAAACATCAAGGCAAAAAGCCTTAATTTGAGATTACTCGAAGGAAAAAAAAAAAAAAGAAGAAGAAGAAGAAGAAGAAGAAGAAGAAGGAAAAGATGCTACTCGTCCAGCGGATGGTTAAAGAAAACTTCAAGAGACTTTCAAAAAATTAGAAATAAGAGAAAAGCATTGGATATAACAATCATTACACTTAAAAAAAATTTCATTAATTCTTTTTATATATATACACTAAGATGGATATTTATATAAAACTAATTGGGAATAATTAGCATTTAAAACATTTGCATTGATATATAACTGCTATCGTTACATAACACATCCTCAATCCAAGGTGACAATTAGATCTATTAAAAAACGAGAGGCCTCCTAGAAAGAGGGAGGAGGAGTGATGCGATCCAAATCCAACAAACAAGAATTATGAATGAATGCAACGAATCAACCAAATCGAGAGGAAGAAATGCAAAGTAAAACAAAAGTATTGCACTAAAGATTTGTAAATGTTTTCATTAAGAACAATGAAATCAGTGAATAAGCCTTTGCAATGAACCCAAGAATTATAAGAAGAATTATGATGAAAATAGAGAGAAAATGCGAGAGAGAATAATTTCCACATGCCGAATAATGATCCCCTCTCTTCCTCTTTCTGTTTTATGTTTGTTAGCTAATAAACAATGCTAACAAATTAGATATTAGACACAAGTAATATTTCAATTGCCAGCTACTAATATATTGACACGTCATTAACTAACACATGCTAATTACATTCCTTTATTCATTTTCTTCTTCTTCAATCTTAAGCCTCTGCTCCCACTAAAGCTCTACACCCTCTCGCCTTATGACACCTCTCGCTCTACTTCATTTCCATACCTTTTGCCTTCCCAATCATTCCTTCAAGTAAGCCTTGCATCAATACCCCTCGCTAAAGTGACCTTGTCCCCAAGGTCAAAAGATGGAAAACGAACAACGAAGATCAAAAGCAAACTCCCATGTAAGCATCCACGGGAGAACCATTAGACCACCGAATCAAGAGCTTAGTGGTCGCTCGATTTCCACACTTCACCATTTTACGATCCAAGTATAGCCACCGGCACAATAGGAAGACCAACGAAGTCGATAATGCGATACGTACAGGTAGTTCTCCATGTACTCGGTTTCAATTGGGAAACATAGAAAGTAGGGTGAATTTGGGAGTGATCGTGGAGCCGTAAGGTGTAAGCTGATTCACTAATTTTATCTATGATCTTGTAAGGTCCAAAGTAACGAGAGGCTAATTTCGATTGCGTCTAGCCACCACGAATTTTTTTTATAGTGCTACAGTTTCAAATAGACCCAATCACCAATCAAAAAACCCTATCCACTCGGATTTATCGACCAATTGTTTCATCCTATGCTGAGCCTTAGTAAGATGAAACTTAAGCAAGTCAATCGCAGTCTCTTTTTCTTATAGGAAGGTATTGATGACTTCCACTTGACGATCATTAGGTAAGTATGAAAAATGCAAAAGGGGAGAGTAACCATACAAAGCTTCAAATAGATCGCGATTAATATAAGAATGAAAGGAAGTATTATACCAATATTCAGTTAGGCAAAGCCACTTACACCATGCATATGAAAGAGAAGATGTCATGCATCTAAGATAGGTTTAAAGGCAATCGTTAACCACCTCGGTACCGCCCATTAGTCCGAGGATGATAGGTCGTGGAAAAAATCAAACCGACTCCTTAATAGGCAAATAATTCTCTCCGTAACTTGCTAAGGAAGATCGGATCCCGATCGGAGACAATGTTACTTGGTAATCTATATAACTTGTACACACCATCCATGAAAACCTTAGCTACCGAACCGGCTAAATAAGGATGAGATAAAGCCATGAAATGACCATATTTCGTCACTCGATCAACCACCACAAAGATAACATATTTTCCTTGTGAAACTAGGAGACACTCAATAAAATCCATTGTTATGTCGGTAAAAATGGCTTGAGGAAAAGGTAAAGGATGTAACAAACCCGGGGATGCCATATTTTCATAATTGTATTGTTGACAAGTAGCACAAAATCCGACATATTCACGAACACTTCTTGTTAGACCCTTCTAATAAAACAAAGCCCCAACCCTCTTAACGATCATCGCCACTCCGAATGGCCACCAATAGCAGAGTCATGATAGTAGGAGATAATATCCTTTTGTAACTTCTAATAATGCCCCACCACCAA